CAAGAGACAGAACCAGGAGGAGGGAGAGAGCATCCAGGCAGGGGGAGGAAGCCAGGACAGTGGACCCAGATATCCCAAGCCTTGGTCTTGAAGGATTGCTCCCAAGGCCAGGTGGTAAACCAGGCTTGAAAAGCAGATTTGCAGAGAGAAGGAGAGATAAAGATCTTCCTTCTGCTGGTTCACTACCCAAATGGCCAGAGCTGAGCCAATCTGAAACCAAGAGCCGAGAGTTTCTTCTGGGGCTCCCATGTAGGTGCAGGGTTCCAAGGACCTGGGCCACTCTCTACTGCTTCGCCAGGCCACAAGCAAGGAGCTGGGTGGGAAGTGGAGCAGTTGGAACATGAACTAGCATCCATACTTGTTAGTGGAGGATTAGCCTGCTGAGCCACTACACTGGCCCCTAGCAGGGCTCTTGGGAACATAAAGACCCTGGGATCAGCTTCTGAGTTGGGTGGCCCCTCAGTGCAATGGCAGTGTCCTTAAAAGGATAAGACAGGGTGGGGGAGGGGCAGAGGGGCCACGTGAGCCCCCAGGCGTGGACAGGACTCCTCCTTGAGGCTCTAAGAACTGCAGAACAACAGTCATCTTGTTTTCAGCCACCCAGGCGGTGATCAAGTGATAGGTCAGCCCTGGGCTCTAACTCCTCCTACCTGGAGTCCAACCCTCTGGGGACTCTACCCCCCTCTCTCTGGCTGACACCATGCCTGTGGGAGCCAGGGAGAGATGGTGCCCAGTGTCCTGACTCCCACCCACAGGGCAAGAGCCGCCTTCCCTGCAGGGGGCAGGCAGAAAATCTGCTTCCTAAATATGTCTGTGACAGAGGCCGACCTTCTCTCAACCCATATCCTAGCCACCCACAGTGTCACCAGCTGTCATTCTGGCTGATTCCTCCCTCCTGCTGGAACTGACAGCCCCAGCCTGTCACCCGGAGGATGCTGGGAAAGGCCTGTCCTCAGGACTGGGAAAGCTAAGACTAAAGCTCTTCCCACCAGAAAACACTGCAGTGGACTTGAAAGCCCAGCCAGTATCATGGGGAGGTCCAGAGGGAGCCCCTGGTTCTGACCTGGCCTAACATACTTGGTCCATCCTCCACTGCTTTTCCAGGCACATTAGCAGGGAGCTGAGTCAGAAATGCAGCAGTCGGGACTTGAACTGGCGCCTGTATGGGATGCTGACACTGCAGGTGACAGCTTTAGCTACTATGCCTCAGCACTGGCCCCATTAACTAACATTTACAGAATATCTCCTTTCTAGAAATAGCTCAAGGCCATGTGTCTGTCCATCATCAGAACAGGTTTGTTTGAGGTCAGGATTAGTATCATGTCCATCTTACAGATGAGAAAACTGTGGCTGTGGAAGTTAAACATTATGTTGGTGATTAAGGAAGTGGGAGGCCGAGAGCTGACCCTGGGATCTCAGTGGTTTGTTTTCAACACCAACCAGTGGAAACTGGAGCTGATGCTTCCAGGCCCACCCCGATCTTCCCCTTGGGTCCATTTGGGGCTGGACTTAACCTGAAAGTAGTTCTTGCCTGCTAACTTCAGCCCCAGACATAGCCCGCAGGCAAGTCCAGTCCAGACCTGCCAGGCCAGAGCAGAGGAGCAGGACCAGGGCCAACTGCATGTCCAGTTCTTGTTCACGGTGGCTGGTGGCTACTGCGGAGACCACCCAGGGTGCCTGCACCCTGGCCAGGAGGTGCAGGGTGGGTGGAGTATATCCAGTTTGTTCTTGCTAGAGAAGGCTCCTCAGCCTGACACTGCAGTTAGGTTCCACTGGAGATGTGTGTGTGCTGACAGGACACAACACACACTCAACCTTGAAGATGAGATCCAAAGCCAGAGGCCATTGCTCATGGATAATCATATCTTAAATATGCTGAGATCATATTATTTTGGAAAGAAGGAATTCAATGCAAATGTTCACACTCATTTTTGCATAAGGCTACTAGAAGGTTGCAGTACACACACGCGGCTCAGGCTGTGTTTCTATCACATGGTGCTGTTCTAGGCTTCATTGAAAAAAAAAACAACAACCTGGAATTCATCCTGATAGCTCCTGGGAAGTGTGTCTTAATCAGGGGAGTGGCATGATCAGATTTGTATATTCCAAAACTCTGAGTGGTAAAAGACTAGACAGAGGCAGGGAGAGCAGTACAGAAGTGTGGCCTCTGGGGTTCAGGTGCGATGGACAACTGTTACCCCCACAGCTCTCATGCCTGTGAAAAATGATAGGCACAACTATATGAAATGTCCACCTTTGTCAACCTAAACTGGCTCCTTATTGAAGGCGATACCAAGAACCAAAGTTGGGACAGTGGGACCACAGAATTAGTAACTCAGAGAGGGACATAAATACCCAGAATTGCAATGAATAAATGATGAGGGAATTAACATAGCCCAGTCCTAGTGGCCTCAGGCAAGATTTACAAGAAGGTACCAAGTAGGGAAAAGTTTAAGCACAGTCTATTTGCATAGTATTTCCCTCCCAATAGTTATTGAAGAGGAAAGTAGGACGGTTACAGTGGAAGAAGCTTCCAGAAAGCATTGTCTTGGTCCCCAGCATTAGCAGCCAGACTGTCCTGGGGTAGGGAACAGAGAAAGACATGACTTGCCCCTTGCTCCTAAAGCTCTTCCAAGTGACACAGGGGCCAATCAGGGCAGGGGGCGTTCTGCGAGATGACTGATACGGCTCTTTAAGACTGAGGATCTTCCTGCTGGGAGGAGGCGACAGCAACATGGCAAGAAAATGCCATGGCAAATTCTGGGTTAGGCTCCAAGGAGAAGCGAGACAGACAACAATGTGATCCAAAGAAGTTCTATAGTCTTGCTATTATTTGAAAAGCAGACAGAGAAATCTTCCAACCATTTGCTCCCTCCCCAGGTGCCAGCAATAGCCAGGGCTTGGCCAGGCCAAACCCACATAGCTAGAAGTCAATCTGGCCTCCCATGTGACAGGGATCCAAGTACTTGAGCTGTCCCCTGCTGCCTCCCAGGGTGTGCATTAGCACGAAGCTAGAAGCAAAAGCAGAGTTGGGCTTCAACCCAAATATTCTGATGTCCAAATGGAGTCCGGAGCGCTGGGCCAAACAACATCTGCCCCAAGGCCTACAGTTCGGTCAACATTATCACATGGCTAGCTTGGTAAATGTTCTACAGCCATGTGAGACGTTGCCATGAGGAGAATCTAGATGATCAGTATAAGGAACTCTAATTTTTGCAATTTCCTTAGTCTAAAATTATCTAAAAATAATTAACTTAGTGTGTCAAACAAGAAACAAAATGAAGTTCTAAAACTAAATTAATATCAGATGATCATAACACATTTACAGTTGTGGACTTCTTCTAAAGACTCTATTTATTTGAAAGGCAGAGTTACAAAGAGGAGAATGAATCTTCCATCTACCGGTTCATTCCCCAAATGGCTTCAATGGCCAGGGCTGGGGCAGCTTGAAACTAGCTTCAATCACTCTCCTACATAAACATAGGGGGCCAAGTTCTTTCCCATCTGGATCGGAAGTGGAGCAGCATCCCACCTGGGATTCTAGCAGGCATCAGATTTACTCACACTACAGTGCCAGCCCCTGATGGCAACTTTGTTATCAACATCAGTATCCATAGGCATTCAACTCATGAAAACTATTCCAGGGTGGACATTTTGGCAAAGTGGAGTAAGGACCCACTTGGGACATCATATCCATGTCAGAATCCCAGTTACTCCCTGCTAATGCACTGGAACACAGCAGAGGCAGAAGATGGGTAAGTACTTGTGTTCCCACCACCCACATGGGACACCCAGATGGAGTTCCTGGCACCCGGCTTCAGCTTGGCCCAGCCTCAACTATTGCAGGCATTTGTGAAGTGAACCAATGGCTAGCTCTCTTCCTCCCTCTCTTTCAAATAAATTATTCTTTTAAAGATAATGTGATCCTATTCAAATCCAATGATTTATAAGATCCCTAAGCAAAAGTCTGATGGCAGCTGGAAGTGGGAAGAACATAGCCAGTGGCACAATACCACTGACCATACCATTGCTAGGGACTGGGTCTGGGAATGAAAATACACTCGATCCACTGCTTCTGGAGCCCAGCCACTGACTGGGAAGGACCCTAGGGACTCCATGTTGTCGTGGCAAGCCTGCAAAGCCACTCCCTGGCAGCTGTGTTATACCTGGCGGGAGTGTTGGGTTCCCAAGTATTAACAGGCGCACAGAAAACTCCAGGCACTTGTTGGACAGTTGGAGCCTAGTGAGGACACTGTCCCTTACTATGCTATTCAATAGAAGGCTAGACTCCAGGTCAGCAGTTGAGTTGGGCATCACCAAAGATGTCCTCATGGCCACAAGGGGATTTCAGAGCAAACTAAAAACTGTGGCATTCCCTTGGATGTAAATGCCACTTGAGAAATGGCAGTATATATTTCAACCTCAAATCATCAAAAGCACAAGGCTTAAAAACCTGCATGTGGGCCTGGCGGAATAGCTTAGAGGCTGAAGTCCTCACTTTGCACACACCAGGATCCCAAATGGGTACCGCTTCATATCCTGGCTATTCTACTTCCTCCCTTCCAGCTCCCTGCTTGTGGGCTGGGAAAGCAGTAGAGGACGGCCCAAAGCCTTGGAACCTGCACCCATGTGGGAGACCTGGAAGAGGCTCCGGGCTCCAGACTGGCTCAGCTCTGGCAGTTGCAGCCACTTGAGGAGTGAATAGGTGGACGGAAGATCTTCCTGCCTCTCCTCCTCTGAATATCAGACTTTCCAATAAAAATAAATAAATCTTAAAAAAAAAAAGCCCTTCGCATGTTGGCTCCTTAAACTAAATTGGCTCACGTGATCAATAAATGTTATTTCTGGCCTCCTGGTTCCTTCTAACTTGGTTGTGTGAAAAGTATGCTGGTATAGCTCTCAATTGAGAAAAAATCAGTCACCAAGTCCTTGTCACACTAAGTGATACTGTCAGGATGGAAATGAGGGTGGGTTAACAAATGCAATGAACCAATTCTATATACCAAAGAAAAAATTTATTGTAAACAAGATACAAAGTACAACAAAAGAAGTGCAAATTTTTAAGTCACAAGGATTTTTTTGTTTTGCTTTTAAGAGACTGTTTCCCAAAGAGTGCAAGTTTTCCTGTTAGGAATCTACACCCGGTGTGTGGGAAGATGGTCATATTTTTCACTACGCATTTTAAACGTTTGTATTAGCACTGTGTGCGTCATCCACTATACAACAGAACAGAAATACTGTTAACAAAAGTGAATGTTCTAAGTCATTTTTTTTCCCCTATCTAGTTCCACATCCTCTGAGAATGCCACTGAGCCAGCAGGACGCCATGTGCCCGTCTGCGAGTGGTGTCCCCTTGCACTCTCACGAGCCACACACGCCCGTTTATCCTTGTGGCACGAGGTCCTTACTGAGGACACAGACCGACTGTTTTGAGGAGTTATCTACAGCCCTTGATACCCCTTCTTTATGATATACACTTTCATCTTCAATTTTTTCCCCCTAAACAAAGTGCAGTTTATCTTAGAGTCTAGAGAAAACACATTGGTGTACAATTTTCAAGATCTACACAAGAACTGCAGGCAAACTAAAGATCAAAGCATAATAAAACGCCTAGATATAATCATCTCTGAAACTTTCAAAACAAAAACGAGGGGAGGGGGAAGGGGAGCTACACACTTCAAAAGCAATTAAATTAGTGAGGATTCCGCTTCTCCGGGCCCTCGTGAGTGATATACAGTCAACCAAATACAAGTATCAACTATAGTGTAAAAACAATAGCTGCAGATGTATTTCAATAATTACATCCATGAAGTTGGCTGCAAAGACTAGAAGTAGTAAACAAGGTCTCTAGGAAAAAAACGACACTCTCTGGAATAATGCAAACCGACCTCATCTCTCCACATCTGTACCGTAAGTTCTTGAAACCAGTGCTTGAGAAGAAATCACATTGAAAAGTTGGTCTCAAGTAGCTACAGCAAAAGGAAAGTAACCAATGTGCACACAAACTCTGGATCTGTGCTACCTGTGTTGACATCCTCTGGAACCTTCGAGAAATGTTCAGAGGAATAAAAGCTTCTCCTGTCTCTCTCTCTCGCCTGAAAAGAAATGAAACCTGCCCTTCTGTGACCTCCTGTGGCCCAGGCCGGGCCCTCGCCCAGATGGCGGCAACGGGGCTGCACCACTTGGCAGCCCTCGCAGGAGGGTCCCGACCCGGTAGCATGCACCATTTCCATGCCACCATGGGCTCCTGGCCGTGACTAAAGTCAGTCCCAATCCCTACGGCTACGGCCTTCACTGCGCGGGGGCTGGTGCTGGTGGGAGAGCAATGTCGTTGAGCTTGCTCACTTCCATCTGCCAGTTGGGGAGCTTTTTGGCCGACAGGTGGCGGCGGGCGTGCTTGGTCAAGTGGTCGCTCCTCATGAACCGCCGCTCACACATGGGGCAGGCGAATTTCTTCTCACCAGTGTGGGTGCGCCGGTGCCTGGAGAGCTCGTCGGAGCGGGCGAACCTCCTCTCGCAGCCCTTCCAGCTGCAGCTGAATGGCTTCTCCCCTGAAACAGACAAGTGCAGGCTGCTGTGAGCGCATGGCCAGGATGGTGTGAGCACACACACTCATGCATTGCACAAGAAAGGCTACCAAGGTGGTCAACAGCATCGGATGCCGCTGCTCCATTTTCCACTTCACATTTATGAAAATCCCCCTTATGAAAGCTTTCAAACCTTTCTATTTATCTGAAAGGCAGTTACACACGGGGGTGGAGTAGGGGAGAGTAACTTTCATCCCCTGGTTCACTCCCGACATGGCTGTAAGCCAGGAGCCAGGAGCTTCCTCCAGGCTTCCCATGCAGGTGTAGGGTCCCAAGGCCTTGGGCCTTCCTCTGCTGCTTTCCCAGGCCACAAGCAGAGAGCTGGGTTGGAAACAGCAGTAAGGACTCAGTGTAGCAACCCATGTGGGTGCTGGTCTAACAGCAGCCCTAAGTCTCCCCTATCTCCCCCACAGTCATCCACTCTTCAAACGTTTGTCCTAAATGAACCTGGCCAATACCTGTGTGCGTCCTCATGTGGGCCTTCAGATGCGAACTCTTAAAGTAGGTCTTGCCGCATCCCGGGTGACTACAGATGTGACTTCTGATGCGGGATGAGTCGATCTGAGGCGTGACTTTGGCTGCCGAAGGGGAAAAGCCTGGAGCTGGGGCAATGGGAGACAGTCTGGTACCATGAGGGCTCACCACGGCTGGCTTGGGGCTCTGCACCACTGGTTGGGGCACGACAAACATGACAGCCCCTTTGGGCACCTGAGCCCCCATGAACACGACAGGTGGGCACACAGCTGGTGGCTGGCTGGCTGGAGTGCTGGGCATGACTGTTGTCACCACAGGGTTGCTGGCGGGAAGGGGAACCATCTGGCAGATGACTGGCATGGGTGGCACACCCCCTGGGGAGACTGTGGGTGGAGAGACCAACACCGACTTCTGTGGTTGGGACACGGGGGCTGGTTGGGGCCTGCAGATGACCGTCTGTGAGGAAGGCACAGAAAAGTCACAGAGTGGAGCCGGGGCTTTCTCACTGGCCTCTGCTTCTGTCGGGGTGCTCGGCTCACACGCAGACCTGTTAGGCGACACAGTCGCGCATGGTACGTTCCTCCTCGAGGCTTCGGCTGGCAGGTGGGGTCTCCTCCGCAAGGAGCTGTCCTGGCAGTGGAGGGTGCCGGCTGCTTTTACCGGACAGGATCGGTGGTTGCAGAGCTGGGCGTCCGCCGTGTGGCGGATCACGCTGGTGGCCTGAGCCTTGGGGGGCTTGGGGAGGGAGGCAGGGTTCTGGTCTTCCTCCTTGACAGGCACCGCGGCAGGGGCCGCGTGCGGCTTGGCGCTATCCGAGAGGGGTCTGAAGTGTCCAGCAGGTGGCGCCGGTGCCACCAGAGTGGACACCTGCGAGGGCTCGAAGTCTGAGGGGCTGTAAGGTGGGGTCAAACACTGGAAAGAGAAAGGAGAAGCCGGTGGTGAGTGTTGCTGGCTGCTGGGCAGACAGCGCCCGGACTCACACCCCACCCAGCAGGACACTCACAAATGCCGGGATGGTGTGGAAGTCCGGAGTGGTGGGGAGCAGGTTCTCCTCCTCCGACAGATCAGACGCCGGAGTCACCGGCCGGTGCTCCAGGTATTTCTTGAAGTCCGACTTCCAGCTGCAGCTCATGGACATGAGCGCCTCCACCGCCTCGAAGTCGCTCTTCTCCGGGGCCTTGTTCCAGCAGTACCCGCTCTCTCTGGCCCTGTCGGAAATCACCTCCATTCTCTCCTCCTGGGGAAACAGAGGGCAAAGCTCACGTTCACCCTGCGGATCAGCCTCTCTGAAGGAGCCCTGGATCCCGGATCCCCAGCACGGCAGAGGAAGGAGCTCAGCGCCCAGGAGCCAAGCGGGGGACAGAACTCTGACCCACTAGGTCACTCGTCAAGTTAGTCAGGCTTGATTTTATTCTATCTCACCATGATCTGGCTCAGCCTATGACCGACAAGCATTTTTTTAAAGTCAGACAATCATAAACTGTAATATTCCTGGGATTTGTAAAAACCTGGACCAGTCCAAACAGAACCCAATTTCTTAAAATACTGCTTTGAGGCCCAACCCCAGAGACTACAGCACAAGTTCTGCACTGACTCACACAAATGTTTGTGAAATTTCACTTAAACACAGCAATGCCATCATCTCTCTGCTTTTTCACCTAAAGACCAAAAAGTAAGGACTCATTGTGTTCATGTAAAAAAAAAAAAACAACACCAAAAAGCAATGTACCCTTGGAGAAAATCATGAGCCTGGCTTTCTGTGTTTCTCTTAACTCAAAGTCCTCCTATGCTAAAATTGTAAAAAACGCCGCTTACAATGCAATTGCATAACGGCGCGCCTTTATGTAAGCGACCACGGCCAGCGGTTGTAGAAAAGCCCCCGGCCGAAGAAAGGGAAGCCGCGGGCGGGCAGCGGGCAGGGAGAGGGGCGCCGGGCAGGAAGGGGAAGCGCGGGCCGCCGGCGAGCGGGGAGGCCGCCGGGCGGGGGAGATCCTCGCGGGCGGGACCGCCCTCCGCTCAATGAGGCCGCGGGTGAGTCACTGGGAACATTCCCCGCCGCGCGCACGTCTCGGCGGCCCGGCCCCGCCATTGGCCAGCCTGCCGGCGGCCCGCGCTCCCATTGGCTGGAGGAGCCTGGGGGCGGGGGCGAGGCATGTGAACAAAGCGTGATCAGCGGCTGCTCCGCGCGGCGCAGGAAACGTGAACTGGGAATTGCCGCGCCGTCACCTTTCCCCTACTTCCTGCGGCCGCCGGCCCCGCCCCCGCGCCGGGCGGGGAGGGCAGGAGGAGGGGCCACCAACCGCCCCGCAGCGCGCCCGCCCCCGGCGGCCCCCGGAGCCGCCGTTCCCTTAGGAACCGACTGCGGGGCCGGGCCTCGCTGCCGCCCCTGGCGGAGGCCGGCGCCGGGTCACTCGGGGACGAGCAGCCTCCCGGGCGCAGCCGCTCCCGGCCCGCCCGCGGCCTCCGCCTCAGCTGCGGGCGGAGGAGGAGGAGGAGCCGGGTGCCCGCGGAAAGCCGGCCGCCGCCCTCCTCCGCCTCCCCGGGGGCCCGGCCGAGCCCTCGGCGCTTCCCGCCCACGCGGCCCGCGGGGACCCGGGGCCACCCCGTCGCTGCCCGCGCCGCGCTCCCACCGCGCCGGCCCCCGCGCCCGCCGGGCCCCGCAGACGGCCGGCCCCCGCAGGCGGCGGCTCCAGACGCGCCGGCCCCCGCGCCCGCCCCGACACGCGGCCCCCGCGTCTCGCGGCTCCCCGCCCGCCCGCCTCTCCCACCCTCCAGAGGGGGCCGTCTGCGGGCGGCCACCTGCCTCCGCCGGCGATGGAGTGGGCGGCTGGCGTGGGGGGAGGCAGGGAATCCCCTCCCGACGTCTGCCGGGCACGGGGGGGTACTCGCCCCGGTCGGTGGTCGCCCAGCCCGCGTGCCGTGCCCCGCTCCGTCTGCGGAGCAGCCCCTTGCCCGGGGTCCTCGGGCGGCAGCCTCCCCGTAGCCCCCCGACCCCTCCCCAGCCAGCGCAAGGTGGGGGGTAGCCCCGTCGCCTCTCCCGCAGCTCCCCCCCACCTCCTCCACGCTGGGTCTCCCTCAGCCGGGCAGGGAAGGCGCTACCCGGTGCCAGGTGCAACGGGGGGCTCCCTTCTCTGCGCTGCCCACCTCCACGCTGCCCGGCGGGGTTCCTCTGCCCTCGCCTCTCCATCACCTGCCGCCTGAGCTGTCCCCACGGGGGCTGCCCCGTCCCCTCCTCCGTGCCCAAGTAGCGCCAAGAGCTCGCTCCTTAGGGTCCAGGTCCCAGTCACGCGACACACGCCCTCGCTGATGCCCACCGTCCGCAGACAGGACGCCCCTTCCTCGCTCGCCCCCCGCCCGGGGCGCCGCTGCAGCCCCGTGCTCCCGCGTGGGGCGGCAAGCTGTCGGGGGGGCTCCCGGGGTTTGCGCCCTCGCTCGGAGCCCCCCGAAGACACGGCGGCATCCTCACCGTAGCCTGCTGAAGGGAAGCGCCGAAGTTGAGCATGTCGGGCCGCCTGGGTCGCTCGCGCGGCGCTGCCTCGCCTGCGGGTCTCGCTCGGGCGCCGGGAGACACTCGACGCCGCCGCGCACCGCGCCGTCTGCCCCCTCCCCATTCAGGTAGCCGCTCCGCCTGCCTCGCGCCGCGGGCGGGGGCGGGGGCGGGGCCTGCCGGCAGCCAATGGGCGGCAAAGGTGTGTGAGGCGCCGGCCAATGGGCTCGCGGGGCCACGCGTGATCAGCGGCTGCCCGGCAGCGTGAAGCTGTGTCAGTGGAGCGTGTACACAGTCCCCGGCGGCGCGCTCCGTCGGCCCGGCCCCGGGGAACTCCCGCGGCCACCTGACTCCGGGGCGCCCGGGCCCGCGCCCACCCCGGCCGCCCGGCCCCCTGCCCGGCGGCCCACAGGGGGCGGCGCCGAGGGCGGGCGCGTCACGGGGAGGTGCGGCGGCGAGGGCCGGCCCCACGTGGGAGGGTGGGGTAGGGAGGGCCGCCCGCTCCGCCCTGTCCCCCTCCGCTCCGGGGCCCCGGCTCAGCCCGCCACCGAGTGGGCGGGACGCCGGCCGGCTGGCCGGGCGGGGGAGGCGGCGGCTGCGAGCCAAAGGGGCGCGAGCCAAGAGATCTGCCTGGGAAGCGCCATCCTCTCGCGCGTCTGGCGAGAGAGCCGAGCTCGGGGACCGACTGAGCCGCCGGAGCCTGGCGGAGGCGCGGGGGACCCCCGCACCAGGGCAGGAGGCGAGCGGAGGAGGCCTGTCGCCGCGCGGCCACCTGCTCCCTCGGCCCCCACCACGGCCGCCCCCGCCGCCCTGCAGGCGTCCGCGCCCCGGCCGCCCGCCCTTCCTTCCTGCGGGCCGAGGGGTGGCGGGGGCGCTGCGGGAAGCCCCGGGAACTGGCCCAAAGGGCTGCTGGGGAGCGTGGACCGCACTTTTTTTTAAACTCGTCTCCGGCGCCGAGTCGAGTTTGAGCGTGGTGTATTTGAAGTTTAGGTTTCAGCCTACAGCTGTTTCCAAGGTAGACTCCCTCCCCCTCCCCACCTCAGGGCCTCCTGCTTGCAAATCGATGAGGACCCCCGGGGGCTCCTAGGGTCTTGAGGTTCCCGCTGGGCTACAACTGGGCAAGTCGCGGTCCCCGGCATCCCCACCCTTTACTCCAGCCACGTTTTCCGCAGCCCCTCAGGGGCTATGCGGGATTCAGGAAGGACCCCGGGTTGTGTGTTGCGGCCAGCCAGTGTGTATGGGGTGTCTCAAAGAGGAGAGCCGGTGGCTGGGCTCCAGCGCCTTCAGTTTTCCCCACGTTGGCCCTTTGCGCCGGCTCACAGCAGTTTTTGTTGCACGGGGTGTTGCGGGAGGGTGGGGGGGATGGCAGTGACGACTGGTCTTAAAGGACAGGCTGAACAAGAGGGAAAAAAAAATCCCAGTTCTTTGGGCCAGCTCACTTTTCAGCGTAAGCGGACCTCCACATAACGTAAAAGCCCCTCTACACGAGCATGGGAAGTGGAGAAGCTGCCCAACCCATGAACCACTCCTGATGATTCCCTCTGGGCTCAGGCTAGCAGCAGTGATGACGAAGTCAAGGGCTGGGCCAGGTCAGGGAGGGCGCCGTTGGAAGGGGGCTGGGACTGAATGGCCTCCAGTCACAGCCTCGCCCGGCTACTGGAGGGCCGCCAGCTCTGCCGCCCAAGCAGTTCCCCCCCTCTTCCTCGCGCACCTCCCCCCAGCCCCTGCCGCCGGCTGCTGGGGTGTTCCTCCCTTCCTTCCGCTTGGGCTGTCCCATCCTGTTGAGCTGAGCACAGGGGATGGAGCAGCTGGCGCCGGGTGGAAGGCACCTGCTACAAGGCAGGAAGCTGGTGTGTGTGGGTGTGTGCCTGCCTGCCTTCCTGTCAGGGCGCCCCCGCCCCGGGGTGGCTGCAGCCGGACCTTGTGCGTTCTTGAGGCGTGCGGGGCTGCTTGCTGGCCAACAAGCACGTGCAGGACAGTGGCGCCGTGACTGCTGGAGATCTAGAGCTGGGTGCCCCTCGGGGCCAACAGAACCGAAATCCTGGGGCTGCTCCTTCCCTGTGAGCTCCTAACTCCCTTCCCCACCCCTGGTTCCTGGAAATGCCCAGGACCCGGCGTTTTGGACCTCAGAAATGTCTGTGCTTCCTGTTCCCCCCGCTTCAAATGTAGCTCTAAGAGCTGGGATTGAACAACCCGTGTTCCTTTCCACCCACACTCCAGCTGCTTTTTCAAGTGCCGGATCCCTACCCTGGTATCGTTTTGCTCAAGCCGCGATCCAATCACAGCAGTCCCTGCTTACATCTGACTGGGCTCCTGATGGCAGGAGGTGCACGGTCATCTGCCTCTATCCCCAGCTGCTCCTATGGACAGGCTGCCCGCTGCCCCTCCCCCAGCTACCTCCAGTCCTCTCGATGGGGACTTGTCCCTTGCCCACAGCCACAGAAATGACTTGTGACCTTGCATCTCCATGCTGTGTCCCATGCCAGGAAGCTGTTTCTCCTGCCTTTACCTCCTTATCCACTGAGTTCATTTGAAAGAATGTGTGTCGGGCACCTATTGCGTGTTCTGGGCCCTGGGACAATGGCAGTGAACAAAACAGACCAGGTTTCTGCTCGTTCAGAAGCTGAGATGGGAAGACAAAGACACACACATACACACACACAGGGTGAGGTCTCCGCCACGCAAGGGTGACATTGTTGTGCCTGGGAAACTGGTTTGGTTTGGGAGACAGAACTGCCTTCAGGGGGAGAGTAGAAGCTGAAAACTTCAACTCTGGAGATTCAGGTGAGGACAGGAAAGTGCAGTGCAAGCTGGAGGGGAGGGGCTGGGTGGTGGAGTGGGGAGGGGGGCAGGCACTTCTTCTTGGAAAAAATGAACATTCATTTATATCTCTGATGGCCCCTTAGCTTTCAAGGATTTTGCTCCCTTGTCACTTGGTAGAAGCCTTCCTGGGTGACTGCAGATTGAGGATATTTTTCTCTGCTCTGTCCACACATTCCCCTCTGTCCACACTTTAGGCTGGGAGTGGGGCACTAAATTGTGTCTGATTCCAGATGTATTTTATCAGTGCCACCCACATCTGTGTCCCTTCAAGATGCTGGCAATGTCACTGACTTAGGGGTCCAATATTCACTCTGTATGAGGTGTAGACATTTTAAAGATTTATTTGAAAGGCTGAGTTAGAGAGAGAGAGAGAGAGAGGTGTCTCCTATCCATGGCCCACTCTCTGGATGGCCACAGTGACCGGGCTTCTTGATTCTCCCATGAGGGTGCAGAGTCCCAAGGTTTTGGGCCATCCTCCCCTGCTCTCCCAGGTCTCAAGCAGGAAACTGGATCAGAAGTGGAGTAGCTGGAATTCAAACCAGCCCCTACTACACCACTGTGCTAACTCCAGACAGATGTTGTACATGGAGGAAATCAAGCTGTGGGTCATCTCTAAAGGTTTACGGAGGTTATGGACAGAATGTGGTCAATGGCTACGTGGAAGTGTGGGTCCTTCTATGCCTTACCTCTAGCTCGCTTTATTTCTTTATTTTCTTCTAGCTGGCTTTATGGCAGGTCTAGGCATGTTAAATTGCCATCTTGGGCACAATTAAAAAATTTTTTTTTTTTTATTGGAAGGGCAGATTTACAGAGAATGGAAGAGGCAGAGATCCTCCATCGTTGATTCACTCCCCAAATGCCGCAGTGCTGGACTTGAGCCATGCTCTACTGCTTTTCCAGGCTATAAGCAGGGAGATGCATGGGAAGGTGAGCAGCTGGGACTCAAACCAGTGCCCATGTGGGATCCTTGCACTTCCAAGGGGGAGGCTTAGCCAGTTGAGCTGTCGCATTGGGCCCAGAAGCGAACAGTACCTCAGACAGATGCTGGCCCTGCTGGCAGTGTTGGTGTCCTCTGAGGTCAGAATAGGAGAGGAAAGGGCCAGTACATTGGCTCAGTTGGCTAATCCTTGCAGCATATCATAGGGATGCGGTTTGTGTCTCAGTTGCGACACTTCCTATGCAACTCCTTGCTTTATGGCCTGGGAATACAACAAAGGATGGCTCAAAACCTTGAGACTCTGCATCCATATGGGAAAACCAAAAGAAGGTCGTAACTCAGTTCTGGCTATTGGGACCAGCGGATGGAAAATCTTTGTCTTTCCTTCTCTCTGTAAATCTTGCCTTCCCAATAAAATGAATAAATCTTTAAAATGGTGGGCCCAGCACAGTAGCCTAGTGGCTTGGATCCTCACCTTGTACGGGCGAGGATCCCATATGGATGCTGGTTCTAATCCCGGCAGCCCTGCTTGCTATCTAGCTCCCTGCTTGTGGCCTGGGAATGCAGTCGAGGATGATCCAAAGCCTTGGGACCCTGCACCCGCATTGGACACCTGGAATAGACTCCTGGCACCTGGCTTCAAATTGGCTCAGCTCTGTCTGTTGCAGCTGCTTGGGGAGTGAATTATTGGATAGAAGATCTTCCTTTCTGTCTCTCCTCTCTGTATATCTGACTTTGTAATAAAAATAAAAAATCTTAAAAAAAAACAATGAAAAGTAGGCTCATGCATGGTCATTTTTGCTGCCTTACAGTCAGTGGGTCTCATCTCTATTCATTCACACTGATATGTTTCTACACCAGATGCCAAGCAGCAGCTGAACCCTTGAGGAACAACCATAGAATCACATAATTCCTGTGTGGAAGGAACTTCCAGGATGGTGGGAGAAGAGCTGAGTTAGCCATTACTGAAGTCTGGTAAGTGCTAGGATAAGGGCGTGCACTGGGCAGGCCTGGGAAGGAATCAGGAGGCTCCCCTGAGTTGATCTCTTTTAAGCTATGGAGAATGGAATGGTGAAAAGCATTGAGGTTGAAGATTTGATAGGCCAGGAGGAGGAGCTTAGGCTTTAAGGAGGGGAGCCTGGAAGGTAAGCATTGATGCTCAGGGCAGTGGAGACCTGTTGTAGAGATCTCCTGCTGGCCCTGGGTGGCCGGAAGGGTGGAGGCTAACACCAGTGAGAAGGGTTTTGTAGTAATGGGCGCTGGTCTGACGGTGCGTGGAATAGGGCTAAGAGCAAGCAGGGTCTGGGCATTGATTGGAAGGGGT